TAACTTTTAATTTTTCTTCAGTTTTATAAGAAAAAGAAAAAGATAAAGAGTAAATTAAACATTATTTACCGAAATTATTGTTAATCTACATTGATAGAAGTGAACATAACGGAACTATTTTTTATCACGCATGGGAACACGAATTACAAGTCTTGTTATAAGCAAAATCTTATCGATTGTGTTAACAGTCGATCAAGTTAATCGGAATTTGGTCGAAGCTAGTCGTAAAATAAAGATTGGAACGTGAGGCGAAAATTGAAACGATGAAATATAAAAGAGACGCTTTCGCCTTTTAGAAAGATCTTTGTTTCTATTACTCTCCCTTATATTCGACATATGCTCCGATTTTTATTTTCGTCAAGGCATCTATAGATTGAGAGAATCACATTGCTCGCAAATCAGTTTCGCAAGTTCTTATAAAAACGGCAACTTCTTCGTCTGCTTTAGGCCCGATTATACCGATAGTAAGACTAATTTTAATCTCTGTTTAATTTACTGTTTATCTTTTTCTCATTCTAAGTATAGAGAAAAATAAACATCAAATTTATTACTCGTTCTCGATCTCCATTTTAGTTCAAATTTCTTTATTCGTTCGCATTTCATTTATTGCAACGTGCGTGCGTCTAATTTCCATGGCGATTATGTGCGGCCATGGGAATTGCGAAGTGCTAACCCGCCTGGGCTGCATTTCGAAACACCTACAGTATACAAAAACTACATAGTTTATGGCTGCTTTTCTTGTAGGACATAGCGTTTTCGATCGTAGGATTGAACCAATCTGGATTGAATTAATAGCTGCGTTTAGCAGAATATTTATTTTGCAACTATTGGAAGTTTTCTTTCTGGATCAGCTCGGATTTACAATAGGATTTTAAGCCTTAAGGCCCAGTAAACGAGAATGAATTAAAATGGATTGAAATTTTCTTCTATCCGAATGCGTATTTTAAATAGCGAATACTTTTTTGGATTTAATTGGATTCAATTGGATTCAATTAGATGCAATTGGATTGAAAAACTGCATTTCCTATTCAAAATTTTGAATTGAACAATATTCATAATGCACAGAAAAAGCTGATATTATTTTTAGATTGAAAGGCATAGAGATAGCTCCATGCAATTCCTATAAATGAATAAAAATGCATTCAAGATTGAAAAGCATTCATTTTAACATTCGTGAATCCATATTTCTGAAAATCTGAATCCATTTCAATCCATTCTCGTTTAATAGGGCCATAAAAAATGGACGAATCATAATCAATTTCTTACGGCTTAATATTTAAAATATCTGTTGTAGATCCGGATTTACTATGGTAGCTGGAAATATGATAGCTGTGGTACAACATAGAATATTTTAAAGATTTTTACTATGCATTTCAGTAAAATTAATCGAACTTATATATTTTATTGTAGTTTTATTAATGAATGAGAGAAGTTTACATAAAATTCTTAGAGATACAATGTTGTCCCAGGACTGCATATTGTCAGGGTAAACTCTAAGAAAAAATTCTCTTCGTGTAGCTGTTGGTTGACGTTACATGTTTTACCTGCTATAGTCAAAAATAGAACATTCGCGTCGATTGTGTCTGTTGAAAGAAAAGCAGCCTAAGGATCGCGACACAGATTTTTGCATAACACAGTGCATAAGAAAATCAACCAATCAAAGTTCTTCTTTTCCATGAAATGAAAGGAAAGAAAGGATTCAGATTAGTTGATTCTCTTATGCACTATGCGTTATATGCGTTAGGCTAGGTCCACAACCTTGCTTTAAGAAGCCGTAACCCCGGATCTACAATAGGGTTTTAAGCCTTAAGCCATAAGAAATAGGCGAATCACAGTCGATTATTCTCCTCGGATTCGACTATAATTGGTCGATTTCTTACGACTTAAAACACCTATTGTAGATCCAGGGTAATGGATCTACAATAAAGTTTTAAGCCTTAAGCCATAAGAAATGAACGAATCATGGTCGATTATTCCCCTCGAATTCGACTATAATTGGTCAATTTCTTACGACTTAAGGCTTAAAACACCTATTGTAAATCCGGAGTAAGCCGTAAGCTTTAAGTTGTAAGTGACGATATATCGGCCACAGAACTTATGCTTTTAGGTCGTAAGAATTGTGTTTTGCTCAATTCGCTTAAGTCTAATCCCGGATCTACAATAGGTGATTTAAGCCGTAAGAAATTGACCAATTACAGTCGAATTCGAGAAGAATAATCGACTATGATTCGTCCATTTTTTATGACTTAAGGCTTAGAACTCTATTGTAGATCCGGGGTAACGATTAAAGCCTAAAGCGCAAAATTAGTTTAAAGACAGAAATTATTGTTACTTAATCTCTTTCGACTTATGACTTAAGGCTTCTTAAGGCTAGGTCCACAACCTTGCTTTAAGAGGCCGTAAGAATTGGGTTTTGCTCAATTCGCTTAAGTCCGGATCTACAATAGGTGTTTTAAGACTTGAGCCATAAGAAATTGACCAGTTACAGTCGAATTCGAGGGGAATATCGACTGTGATTCGCCCATTTCTTATGACTTAAGGCTTAAAACCCTATTGTAGATCCGGGGTAAAGACTGCGCAAAAACAGTTTAAAGACAGAAATTATTGTTACTTAATTTCTTTCTACTTATGATTTAATGCTTCTTAAAGCAAGGTTGTGGACCTAGCCTAAAGCAAGGTTGAGGATCTAGCCTTATGCAAAAGTCTGTGTCGCGGCCCTAAGTGATGTGAACAAAAGAGTTTCAGTTGCTGCAGGTACGTTTCAAAACGCAGTCCTGTATGGGGCGCCTTGACCCCGGATCTACAATAGAGTTTTAAGCCTTAAGCCATAAGAAATGGACGAATCATAGTCAATTATTCTTCTCGAATTCGACCGTAATTGGTCAGTTTCTTACGACTTAAGGCCTAAAACACCTATTGTTGATCCGAGGTAAATCCCGAACAGGTATAGTAAGCCTTAAGAAATTGACCAATCAGACTCGAGTTTTTTTCTCTCACATTCGTTTATGACTTAGTTGTTTTCCATTTTCACACAAGTGATACTAAGTCTAAAGTTATGTATTTTGTACTCGCATAATGACGTCACTACTTGCTTACTTTGGTGACAATGTTATCGCGTAACGACATAGGTTTATATCTCACTTTTAATGTGAGTTAACAAGAACTCAATAAAGCATACAATCGAGCTTGTGCAGATTGTAAAAACTCAGTTAAATATTTTATCTTTATCTTTATTTTTATCTTTATCTATCTCACTTATCAGAATGAAAAGGAACGTGCATTCAACTGACGACGTTACAAATGAGAATTATCTGAGTTTTGATATAAACAGGAAGCGACTATATCAATTCCTTGCAGCTTGAGGCTTACTACATCCATCGTAGGTCTGTTTTCTCTTCCTGAACCGATGCAATAAGTCGAAGTGACATCAACGTAAATCTATTTTGAAAGAATAAAAAAGAGACCTTGCGTTTCGAGGAGTAAAGCGCCCGGGCAGCAGCCGGCACTGGCGGTTCGCCGGCGGTGCGAGTACTGCGCGTTGCGTGCCATCTTGGCGGTCCGTCCATATCGCGTTCGGTCGCGGCCGGCGTGCGCTCAGTTTTGTTTTCCGTCGAAATTCGGTGCGGCTGGCAACGCGCGTCCGTCGGACTGCGCACGGACGATCCCGTGGCGATCGAGGTGCGAGACCGAGACGTCCATAGTACGTCAAGTTGTATTCTCCACAGGTACGTACCGGAATTATTTCGGATAGGCCCGCGATTGGGTTAACGCGCCATTCCTCTCGGTCGACGAGAAAGAAAGAGAGAAAACACGCGCGCGCGCGCGTGTCGATTGGCCCGAGCGGCGCGCCAGAGAACATTCGTGATCGTTCGAGCCGCGAAGGAAGCGGTTGCGTTATTTTCCTGATAAGTTGAAGTCGGCCGCTGTCTTCGGTACGTCGTGCCGTAAGAAAAGAACGACGCGCGCGCGAAAGCAGACGACGATAACGGCGGAGCGACGACGGGCGGCAGTGGTGCGCGTGAAAGATCGTGACGAGGACGAGATACGCGTATTTCGGAGTAAAGTTTGGTAAGTTTGCCCGGTCACGTGTGCGTCTCGCGCCGCGTTTTCTCGACTTTCCCTCGTGAGTCCTCGTAACGAAAGATATTCCCGATTTCGACTCGCCCGAACATTCTTGGCCCGGCGCGAGCGAACTCGGAGTTCGGAGCGAAGCAGAGCGCGCGATCCGGAGAGCCACGCACGTCGTCGTGCGTGCTCGCGCGCGCGCGCAAGCACGCTTCGGACGTGATCGCCGACCGGATTTCATCACGTCAACGTCGCGTCGTCGGCGACGCGTATATCGACGCGATATTGGTCAAGCGTTAAGATACCTGGACAACGCGCAAAAAGTTCAAAATCGAGATGTAAGACGTCTTAAAAATCTTTTAGACTTATTTAAGACTTTTAAAAGATATCTTCAAGACGTCTCGTGTCTCATTTTGGAAACACGTGTCGTCTGGATATTACAATATTATACTAACAATAAGATATACGTATGTATGTATAATCAAGAAGCGCGGCCTCTATTTCCCCGTGGAGACTCGCGCTGGATCTTCGGATCTGTTGCCGAATATTCATGGTACTCTAATTTAATGGATTTCCAACTCATCCGCCTTCGTGGGATGGAAATCCATTGGGAGGAGGCAATTAAAGAATAAGAAAGTTTGATCGAGCTGGACATTGGTAGGAGACCGGCATTGAGAGCAGCTGAGACGATCGCGCTGGCATTAATACGCGACACCGGGGCAGGCACGCAAAGCGCGACGGTGCGCGCGCACACGCACACGCACACGGCGACACCGTTCGGCGACGCGCCGCCGC